ATGATGTATAGTGTCTGTTTTGAATTTGGTTGCTTTATCTCAAACATTAGTAAATGGCTTTGGATGCCACTTTTACTGCTGAGTGAGTTTCTCATTTCAATTTCAGGTGGTTACATTTACACCCAAACTTGTTTACAAGTCACTGTTGACTCACTCCATCAAAACAACTTCTCTTCACTGACATTACACAATGCCAACAGTGTACTAACAACTGGTGAACTCTTAAGAGTTTGTCTATTGCTTGTTTGCAATTCACTGATATGTTTTTGTTAACCCAAAACAGTAATTCTATCTTTCTGCCCATCTGTCTATCCCTTTCTCTATCTATCATGTATTTTAACAGAGCATTGACTGATCTCTGTTCAGTTTTAGTACACCTAGCAAAGTGTAAGGAGCAGTGACACCTGCTGGTAAGATCTGAAGTTCCTTTTCAGTATTTGTAATTTCCAGTACTTACACCCAGTCTATGTATACAAATAATTCTCAGAGAAGAGAAAAAGCAAAGTAATAACCTAATTGTTACTTAACACTTCAACGATTAACTTAACAAATGATTTTTTAAAAAAGACAACAGAGTCTAGCAGGTGTTGTGAATCATATAGAAGACCGCAAAGCAGAACTGATCTTATTTTACTTTGTCTCCTTCCCCCACTCACCTCTCCAGATCTCAGGGGAGAGATTTATACCCTTCTTTCACACCATTTCTTCATGCAAAGGCCCCTTTCTTTCTTTGCTTCATCATATTTTCCCCAGATTTCCCACTTCCTTCCTCAACTGTCCACTCCCACCCACGCCCACACTAATATGTATTATTTTGAGTATGCAGGAGTTTTAAATAATCACAAGTAGTATTGTGTTGTAGATTTCATGCTTTTCCTATTTAATTCCATTTGAATTTAATTGTCTGTTCATGCAACTCTATATATTTTGGTTCATTGGCTTTATATATTGTGTATTCCAGAATATGCTTTTCACCATATTTTCATGTATCTGTTCTAGTGATGGACACCTAAGTTGCCTCCAACATCCTGTGACTACTATCTTATCAATGTATAATGTATATCTTAAAAATATCTTTCCTGCTCTACAGAATGACTGCTCCAATCCATACTTTTGCCAACAGGATCTGAGTGTTTCCATTTACTAAAATCCTATCCATCATTTGGTATTACCCAGTGGCCTTCTAGCTGGTCTGATGAGTGTAAGTTGGTGTTTCACTGTTGTCTTAATTTTTATCTGATTATCAATGATAAATTCGAAAACATGTTAGTAATTCAGGTTTCCTTTCTGTGGATTATCTTTTAATACATTTTGCCTGCTTTTTTTTTTTTTACTTGGGGTCCACGTGTTACTTATCCGCAAAATTCACTATGTATTCTGAAGAGCAGCCCTTTGTTGGTTTACATTGTTAATATTTTCTGTGAAGCTGCTCACTCTGAGTATCAGGGCCTTTGATAAGTAGTAATATTTAATTTTGATGTAGCGATACCCATCAATTTTCCACTACATTGTTTATGGAGGGGAGTCTCATAAATATTTCATCATCTCAGTTCAGAAAAATATTCCCCAGCATTTTCTTCTATTAGCTTTGTAGTTTTAACTTTTTTTTTTTTTTGAGAGATTTTCGCTATAGGGCGCGTGCGCTGGCCAGACAGACAGAGAGAGACATAGAGACAGAAAGCGAGAAATCCCCCCCCAGGGGGGATGGTCACGCCGCAATCCCTTCTCCTCTTGGGATCTTGGGCATGCACGCACACGCGCCCGGCATGAGTTTTAAGCCACCAGGTCCGGGACGTGAACCGCAGTCAACTACGTGAGAGTCCAGCGATATAGCCATTATGCTAACCGCTGGTTCTCAAAAGTGAGAAACCAAACTACCAGGTCCAGGACTCGAACTGAAGTTGGCCATATGGGAGTCCAGCTCTTTAACCACCATGCCACCTGCTGGCTTTGTAGTTTTAACTTTTATATTTAGTTCTTGATCCACATATGACCTATGTAAGATATCTAGTAGGAATCCAACTTTTTCTCCAAACAGTAAATTAATTTTTCCAAACCCATCTACTAATCCATCCATTTCCCACTGACTGATGTTGACACCTTTATTGAGTACCAAGTTCCCACATTTACAAGAGTCTACAAGAGTATATTAAACCTATTTAGTCCTATTGTTTTTATTTTCTTGTATTTGTTTGCACCAGTTTCTTCTTCAAGTTTGCTATAGAATATGTGTGCTTGTTGGAGAAGGAGACAGAGAGAGAGAGTAGTCATTCCCCAATGGGAGATGGCCATGCAGCAATTTCTTCTCCTCCATTCTCCTCTTGGGACTTTGGGCACTCATGCACATGTGCCCAGCATGACCCTCAAACTGCTGTATCTGGGACTCAAACTACACAGTCGACCATATGGGTTCCAGCTGCCCTAACCTCCATGCCATCTGCTGGCCCTAAAATTTATAGTTTTTTTGTGGAAGTTTTTGATTGTTGTAAGGAAGATTTATCCAAACTATCTACTCTTTTATTACTAAGAAGCATAAGACATTCATTACTTTTTTTAAAATTGCCATATGGTACATGCACTCTCCAGAAAGAGACAGAGAAAGGAGAGAGAAAGCACCCCCTTTGGGACTTAGTCATGCCATAATCCCTTCTCTATTTCTCTGTCCTGTCAGGATTCTTGGCAGACATACACAGAAGCCTGACATGTTTTTTCATGCCACCAGGGACTAGATTCCAACCAGTTGGTCATGTGGGATCCAGCTTCCTTAACCACTAGATTATGTGGCCAGCCCAACCCTATTTCTTTAAGAACATTTAATATGCTCATAAAGTAGCCGGCTTCCTAGGTGGCCCCAAGACCCCTGCCTCCTAGGATTCACATCTTTGTTCTGTGCCCTTACACATAATGCCAGCAGTCATCTGTATGACTGGTAGAATGAGGCAAAACTGACGATATGTCACTTCCAGAGTTAGGTTATAAAAGGTTGTGGTGGAGACCAGCAGATGGTGTAATGGTTACATTGCTGGAGTCCCATAGTCAACTGTGGTTCGAGTCCCAGACTCGGTGGCTTAAAACTCACACTGCGTGCTGTGTGTGCCCAAGATCCTGAGAGGAGAATAGAGGAGAAGAAATTGCAGCACGGCCATCTCCCATCCCCCAACGGGGTGATTTCTCACTTTCTGTCTCTCTGTCTCTCACTGTCTCTCCGATGAGCATACTTGCCCTATAGCAAAAATTTCTCTTTAAAAAAAAAAAAAAGATTGTGGTGTCTCTCTCATTTGCTCTTGTGATGTATGGCTTGCTCTGAGGAAAGCCTGTTTCAAACAGCCATGTGGAAGGCCCATGTGGCAAGTAGCTAAAGGCTCTTGCCAACAGTCATGTGTATGAGCTTGGAAGGGGATTCTTAAGTCTGCAAGCAATGTTTTCCTGGCTAACTTTTTTTTAAAGAGGTTTTTGTTATAGGGCACGTGCGCTCGCCAGACAGACAGACAAAGACAGAGAGACAGAAAGCGAGAAATCACCCCCCAAGGGGGATGGCCACGCTGTAATCCCTTCTCCTCCATTCTCCACTCAGGATCTTGGGCATGCACGCACACGCACCCAGCGTGAGTTTTAAGCCACTGGGTCTGGGACGCGAACCGCGGTCGACTATGTGGGAGTCCAGCAACATACACTAACTGCTGGTCCCCCTGGCTAACATTTTGAACACAACTTCATGAGAGACCCTGAGCCGGGCTAACCCATTCTAGATTCTTGACCCTCAAAAACTGTGGAGGCGCTGAGCATGTGTGTCATATGTGCCCAAAATCCTGAGAGGAAAACGGAGAAGGAAGAATTGCGACGTGGCCACCCACCCTGGGGGGTGATTTCTTACTTTCTCTCTCTGTCTCTTCAGTGAGCACACATGCCCTGTAGCAAAAATCTCTCTAAAAAAATAAATTAAAAAATTGTGTGACGTAATAAAATTATGTGGTTTAAGAATGATTTGTTCTGCAGCAATAGACAAGCAACACAATTCATTTAAAATTATTTGCTATCTGAGCCATGAGTGCTACTTTACCCTTAGTCACGCAGTTTCCCTGTGTGTTCACATTCCCCTTGGGATATGATCCATCTTCGCTGTGTATTCATAGGGGGTGGCTAAATTCTGGTCCCTCCAAAAGCTTTGGCTGAAGGAGCCATGCTTTGATGTTTAAATCTGCTCCCCTTCCAGGTACTGTTTTCAAGGGCTATTTGACATAGTTTTACAGGTGGACTTCAAAAAGTTAATGAAAAAAAATGGAATTAAAATATTTTCATGTGGTACAGAAAATTAAAATCTGTGCATAAAGCTATGATTTTTCATAATATTAATTGCCCAAGAACTTTTTGAAGACTCCATGTAGTAGCTTGATTCTTGGTATAGTAGGAGTAGGGGCAGAAGGGAGCACTAAGTCATAGACGCTACTCAATCCAAGCTTGGTTCTCGCCCTCACACCCCGCTGTCTCCACTGAGGCTGAGCTGGCTGCTCTTCTCGCACCCAGTAGCAATGGATAAGGAAGCAAAGCACACCTCAACAGACTCTTCCCCATCCAGTATTTTCCCTGGAGCCCAGTCAGCTTTTGCTCAGGTTTATAATCCCTTTCATTATCCCTAGTCTCGTTTGCTTTTAGCTTTTATGTTTGACAAATTCATCAGTTTTCTTCTGGCTTTGTAACAGCTCTGGGATGGAATTCCAGGGAGAAACGCTGAAACTCTTGCAAGAACCAGAATACCTAACTCATCTTTTCATTTCCCCATGTATTAAAAACAAAACAAAACAAAACAAAACAAAAACCTTTTAAATATTATTTCCCCATTTCTATCTTTTCCTTGAATCAAATAGCATTAAATAGGTATTCAAGAATGCTTCTTGAATGAAATAAAGAAAAAGAGAAGGAAGCATGACCCTAACTAATAGAGCTGGTTACAGTGATCAGGTAAATCTCTTAAGAATGACTGTCACTTAACCATCACTCACCTGAAATGGCTTCAGGAACGTCTCCTCCATTGCCAATCTGCCATACTCAGTGAAAAGCTAGAAGGAAAATCACAAACACACAAAACTTCAATATCTGCAAAGTTTTACTTCTTGGCTTTCTTTCTTTCATTTTTCCCTGCAAGCTACAACAATATGCTATATTATTATTATTTCTTTTTTGGAGAGGATTTTTTTGCTATCGGGCGCGTACGCTCGCCAGACAGAGAGAAACAGAGAGACAGAAAGCGAGAAATCACCCCCCAGGGGGGATGGCCACACCGCAATCCCTTCTCCTCAATTCTCCTCTCCAGATCGTGGGCACGCACGCACACGCGCCCGGCATGAGTTTTAAGCCACCAGGTCCAGGACGCAAACTGCGGTCGACTACGTGGGAGTCTAGCGACATAGCCATTACGCTAACTGCTGGTCCCAATATGCTATATTATTAAAATTATGATGATAATTTTAAGGAAGTATAATAAATATTGGACAGATAAAGCATAGCTACAGTAGTTAGATATTTAAAAATGAGGACATATCATACATTTAAAAATAAAACTTTCATTTTAAAGCAAATATCTTTTATACCTAGTATGTGGAACAAGTTTTTGTAGGAAAGATGGGGGAGAGGAGCGTTAATGACCTTCAAAAATGTAACTTGCATAGATTAAACCAGAGGTGTAAATTATGTAGGATGAATCACAAAAGTTGTTGCCTCAAGTAATTTAATGCTATAATGACCTCGCTTACTACAAAGACATGTAAGCGTTTGTCTTAAAAAGTGGAGAATTAAATGCACTGCCTTCTCATACTTTTTATTGCTCCCCCTTGAGATCATGAAGCACCATAATCTAAGTTTTGTTTTGTTTAGAGGTTTTTGCTATACGGCGCGTGTGCTCACCAGAAAGACAGAGAGAGACAGAGAGACAGAAAGCGAGAAATCACCCCCCAGGGGGGATGGCCACGCCGCAATCCCTTCTCCTCCATTCTCCTCTTGGGATCTTGGGCACACATGCACATGCACCCAGTGTGAGTTTAAGTCATTGGGCCTGGGACTCAAACCGCAGTCGACTACATGGGAGTTCAGTGACATAGTCATTACGCCAACTGCTGGTCCCAATCTAAGTTTTCATGTTGCCAGAAATATAAGACTTTGGAGGACACACACCTGAGGAGGTGACTGTGATGGGGCCTTCCCCATATGGATACCGGAAATGCCACTTCATATACTGAGCGATGAGCCATGGCAATCCTTCAGCACTGGGAAAGAATACTGCTACATGGGGTTCCCACCCTTTCCCTTTCTACATTGCACCCCCAATATGATACTGTGGGAGTGCCGGGTATCTAGAAAGCAAAGGGCATCACTAGGCACCTGATTAGAGCAATGAAATGAAAATCTGGAAGGTCCTGCCTCAAGAGCAGGTGGCCCAGGGATGAGGCACTTTCATTTAGAATCATTTACTAACATAATTTGAATTGACAGTCACTTCTGAGGAAGGCTAAAAAATTGTCATTTACACAAAAATTTTTGGAAGGCACTACAAAAAGATTACTTACTCAATATCCAAGCCTGAAATCTGCTCTTTCTTTAGAAACCCCTGAACTGGTATCGAACAGTGCCATGTCACTCACTTGAAAAGTAGTTGGCTAGGCTCTGACATCCTCTCAAAGAAGCAACTGTTCTTCTTACGAGAAATGTCTAAGAATTATTTAGCATACTGCCTACTTGTCATGAATGATCAGAGTGATTATTAGAGATATATCTAGTAACAATGCTGGATGTGAACTCTGGGTGATATATATATATATACACACACACACATACATATACATACATATTTTTTTTCTTGGAAAGGTTTTTGCTATAGGGCACATGTGCTTGCCTGAAAGACAGAGAGAGATGGAGAGACAGAAAGCGAGAAATCACCCCCCCCCGGGGGATGGCTACACTGCAATCCATTCTCCTCCATTCTCCTCTCGGGATCTTGGGCATTGCACGCACATGCTCCCGGCATGAGTTTTAAGCCACTGGATCCAAGACTCGAACTGCAGTCGACTACATGGGAGTCCAGCGACCTAGCCATTATGCCACCTGCTGATCTCTCCGAATGATATGTCTAATGTCACAGATTAATTACCGTGCTCTATCATCCTTCGTTATTTGTTAAATCTTCATGTTTTGCCACATGGCTCTGATTGCCAAGAAAATAATATACTGAAAGCAAAACCTTCTATGAAACATACCGAGGAAAACTGTCAGAGAAACAGTGGATTTGCTACATAACAAAAAATACCATGAGTCTAAAGGGCACACAGGCTAGCTGGTAGCATGGTTGTGAAGCATGGATCCCTCATGGCTCACTGTGTAGTGCAAGTCCCAGACTGGACTGTTGGAAAAACACACTGGGCATGTGTGCGTATGTGCCCAACATCCCAACAGGAGGGAGAAATGGAGAGGGAAACACAGTGTGACCAAGCCCCAGGCTGCAGGTGACGGGGAGATCTCACTTTCCATTTCTCTCTCTTTCTCACCAGTACATACTCCCGGTGGCAGATTTTTTAAAAAAGGGGAGCGAGAGAGCAAAGAAGTTACAACAGTATGAACTATCTTTAGGAAACATCTTATCTTTGTCTTGAGATTTAAATGCTGCTTGAAGAATGGAAGGCACACTAAACCCAGATTTTCACTCCCATTCTACACTAATTAGCCACGTGAGTTTCGGCAAGTCACTTTTCTTTCAGCCTCATCTTCCTCATCAATAAATTATGAAGGATAAGTTAGGTGTCCTAAGGTCTCCCTCAGAGCTAAAATAGAATTCTGTAAGTTATCATTAGGTAACCCTTCACAGTTCTTGGTGGTCCACAGGTGAAAGGCAAACAAAAGCCGGCACGTGTGGATGCAATGGTAACTCCTATCAAATCCCTGACCTGAGACTTCAGTTTCATATTTTGGGTCATTTTTAGATCAAAGATACTTTCTGACTCCAACTTGTCAGGTATTTTCACATACCCAGGGCTTATAGCGAGTGCCTTTACAAAACAGAGGAATTAGAAAGATCATATCCACAATGGGCTGGAACGAGACACTTGGAAACAGGACAACCCCCATCCAGTTGTTTCTAAATCATTCCCTTGACTTCTGCTGAATAAGTTCAGAAGACTACCAAATATGTCAAAGAGAGTCTAGGTGTGGTTACCTGGAGGTGCTGAAGATCATCCTCCTGGACATTTTGGGATAAGTTATATACCTTGATGAAGAGAGAAAGTCAAAATGGGAAGATAATTGGCATCATCCTAAGGATGTTTCATTCTCTATTTTTTAAAATACTATCATAAAATCGAGCTCTCCTGCATTTATAGTGATCATAAAATTGTTCTAGAAACACAAGGGCCACTTGTTCTGGAGACAGGATATTAAACTCATTTTGTGAGCCTAATTTAACAATTCCATAAAACAATAATTCTTCCATGCACACCAAAGTAATAGCAATTGAAATCTGAAAAACCCATACAAAAATTTTGTTAAGAAAAGTTATGTTGACTTCTTCATCATCATTTTCTTCATGTCTACAGAAAGTTTCATCATACGGAAGTTATGCTCTGAGTATCATGCTCACATTCTTATACACATTGCTTCATGAAGAGATCACAGCATTTTGATGACATTTGTTAGAAGGATAAGTATCGGTCACTTCAAAGAAAAGTTAAGGACATTTAGATGTTTGTATACTGATGCTGACAGTATATTTTGTGAACTTATTTAAATAACAGATCAGTTCTCAGTTAAAAAATGCTCCTTGTTTGAGACTTAGAAGATTACTTTATGAAAGCATCTAATACTACAGTAACAAATGTATGTGATTCACATCAAAGACAAATAGTAAATAGTGAAAAAGCAAAGTCAGTTTGATTTTAATTGGCTTGCGTGTTGCCTTTTGCTGACAGTTATGAAGAAATTAGATATTAAGTCAATATTTTTTAAAGAATTATTTAATTTCATTTATTCATTCATTTTATTTCAATTTGACTATAGAGAGAGATAGAGAGAGAGAGAAGGAAAGTGAGAAAGCAAGCTACCAGGTCCAGGACTTGAACCGTGGTTGGCCATGTGGGAGTGTCCGGTGCCTTAACCATTATACCACCTGCTGGTCCCTTAAGTCAATATTTTAAAAGCTCATTCAAGAAATAAATTTTTAAGAGCATCAACCATAGATTATAACCATGACTTTTATTTTAAAAGTCTTCCCACCTTCTATTTACTCTCTCTTGGGCATCCTTACCACATGTGATACCATTTTTGCTGGGTCACTAGCTCCTTCTACTTGACTTGCTTGTAATTTTAGCCTTGACTTACTCATCCTCACTACTTTGCTTTTCCTGTCTTTTTAAACTATCTTATCTCATTTTATTGATCTGCTTTGTTTCTTGGCCACTATCTATTCCTGCTCTCTCCAGTGAAAATAAATTATCTAAAAATTTTCTTAAAAATCTTTCATGTTCTATGTTCTATGATTATAGTAAAACTCTTCAAGGACTTTCAGGACAATTTAGAAAGCCTACAATAACCTCAAAAGCAATAGTTTAAAAAAGAGAAAGAAAAAAGGGAAAAGAAAGGAAGATAACAATTTCGTATAAAGACATTTACTTCCTAAATATTGAGATGTTTTAAAAGTCTATGAACATGCATAAACGTTCTGACATTTAGAAATGTTTCCACTGGCTATGTATGTAAAACAAAATTTTATATTTTTCCATCTTGTTTCATTAAACATAAGTGGTCTCTACTTATGCATATGTTTTAAGATGTAATATTATTGAGTTTATTATAGATTTTAAACAGAAAATATATTAATAAGAGCATATAATCTGGGCTGGACCCATAGCCTACTGGTTAAGGGAGCTGGATCCCACATGGCCAACCACAGTTCAAATCTTAATCCTGGCAGCTTATAAACATGCCAGGTACATGCATGTGTGTGCTCAAATTCTCAACAAGATGGAAAATGGAGAGAGATTGTGGCATGATCACACCCCATTGGGGGTGTTTTCTCTCTCTCTGTCTCCCTCTTTCTCTGGCAAATGAACACATATTCTGGACAAAAACAAAACAAAAAAATTTAACATAATCTTTTCTGACTAAGACAGTTTAATTTGAAAACTGCAACTGAATTACAGTAACAAAAATTATTCTGATAGCTATCACAAGAACTGGGGCCAGCAGGCGGCATTGTGTTTGAGGTGCTGGACTATCACATGGCTGAACATGATTCAAGTCCCAGACCTGGCAGCTTGCTTCCTCACTTTTCCTTCCTCCCTTCCTCCCTCCCTCCTTCCCTCCTTCTCTCTCTCTCTATCTATCTGCATGTGTGTCTCTCTTTAGTAAGCACACATGCCCTATAGCAAGTTAAAAATATAATAATAATAATTAATAAAATAAACAATTCTTTTAAAAAAGAAAGAAATCACAAGAACTGGTATGCTAATTGAGCCAAATAACATATATGATTTATCATTTCTCTTGTTGGTCTTACTACTTGCTTACACACATATTAGAAGCACACATATTCATAATTGTTGATTACAGAAACATACATTAATATGGATTTATTTTATCTCATACCTGTATTGAGCTGATCATTGTGCTAAGGGCAAATACTGTGGCCGAATCTCTCAAAGTTGACTGACTGTCAAAGGTTCCCTGAGTATCCATCAATAACACTGCGACCTAGAGGCAAGTTGAGTACATTATTGATATTTCACAGAAAATCTGGAGCATTAGGATTCCACAACATTAATATCATAAGAGCTTACGCAAACCGTGATCAATACATACTTAAAAGGTAATTTCTTAAACATGTCACAGAAAATAAAAATGTGGGTTAGCTGCTGACTAACTTTCACTGGTAATCTGACGTAACAGGAACTTAACACAGCACTGAAATGAAGTGCAGAGGTTGGCTTGCTGGTCTGCCATTCTACGTCCTTACTACAATATTTTGCCTGCCCCGATTACTGGGAAGGTAAATAGAAATATGCAATGGAGTGCTGCCTCCTTGCCCTTTAAGCTTCATGTCAAATGGCCAAAGTTTGCTTTCAGAAGAGCATTTTCAGATCCTGAAAAGAAATAATTTCAAGTAAAAGCTCAGTTTTATTTAAGAAGCTAGCCTCATACCTTTTTACCATCGGGCTTATTGATAAGGAAGACTTCACTCCATATCTGGATTCCTGTGGTCTCTCTTTCAGACCCACCTCTCCATGAAAAGCCAGTCAAAGGTTCATTGTAATCTCCGACCCAGTCGACTGATTCCTGTAAATTAATAAAGTCTGTGATATGAAACTGGATGTGTGTGCGCGCCATTTTCCCCCCATTCATGCATTCCTATTCTTATACCTCGCTAACTCTAGTCAAAAGGAAACCCATTTGCACATCTATGGCATTGATACAATTACTTTAGTTATTCATCCAAAAAAATAATGAGAGAGGAGCAGTCATCTGTCACATTTTATGCTGGGTTCTGGGACACAGAGATGAAAGGGTATCGTTCCAGACTAGAGGAAGTTCACAGACTAACAGGGAGAGACACGTGCGAACACAGCATTGTGATGCAGTACGAATACATGCCAAAGTGAAACTCTGTAAGGGGACTTTCGAAAGCATGTGGAAAAATGAAATTAATGTGTGTTTATTTTGGTGCAAAAAAATTGAAATCCATGCATAGTTTTTTCATAATACATATTTCCTATAAACTTTTTGAAGCTCCCTCCTATATAAGTCAAAAGTGAGGGCACAAGGGAAAGAATAACTAACTCTCAATTAAATAAGATTTCACAGGAAAGTGGTGACTGAGCTCAGACTTGAAGAATATTGGGAATTTTTCAGGTCAGCAAACTTGGAGAAGGTATTCCAGAAAGAAAGAAAGAAGAAAGAAAGAAAGAAAGAAAGAAAGAAAGAAAGAAAGAAAGAAAGAAAGAGAGAAAGAGAGAAAGAGAGAAAGAGAGAAAGAGAGAGAGAGAGAAAGAAAGAAAGAAAAGAAAGAAAGAAAAGAAAAGAAAAAGAGAAAGAAAGAAAAGAAAGAAAGAAAGAAAGAAAGAAAAGAAAGAAAAAAAGAAAGAAAAGAAAGAGAGAGAGAAAGAGAGAGAGAGAGAGAGAGAGCAAGAAAGAAAGAGAGAAAGA